CCCCCCCAGGGGGGATGGCCATGCCGCAATCTCTTCTCCTCCATTCTCCTCTCAGGATCTTGGGCACACACGCACACGTGCCCGGCGTGAGTTTTAAGTCACCGGGTCCGGGACGCAAACTGCAGTCGACTACGTGGGAGTTCAGCGACATAGCCATTACGTTAACTGCTGGTCCCTGATATGCAGTTTTTAAAAATGATCTCATGACCAACTTTTCCCTGGCTATGCAAATAAGTAATCTGACCCTTGTAGGCTGCAACTGAGACCTGAGCCAATGGGAACAGGCTAGCCTCATGAAGAGAGTGTAAAACAGCTCTTCGACTTCCTGAAAGTTAAGGCAGGAAGTCTTTCTCAGCCTCATCACTTGTAAAATTTTTACTTCCAGCATTACACAAACGTGAGGAATAAACACTTGACTGGAGAAACATGAGCATAAATAAATAAGAATGCCTGTAAAAACTGATTACAGTTTTACACCTAGAAGCCTGTATAGGAGACAAGAATGACAGTACAGAAGGGGAATTCATGCTCACTCCAGTCAGTAGCATCCTCACAGAGTACTCGACTGTTTCTAAGCATATGCAGGGAGGAAGCCAGACAGCTATAAGGGTTCATAGCACCTATGCTGCTTTAATGATATGTGGCACATCTGAGCATTTTTCAGAATAATTATGGGGTGATTTTTTTTTTTATTTTTATTTTTTTTTTTTAGGGAAAGTGCACAGTGTTTCTATTCCAAATGTTAAGTTTGATGGAGGAGATTTTTAGAGTAAATTATATTGCCCATATGACTATATTTCTTCCTTTCGCTCTTCTTTTTTTTTTTCTTTTTAGATATTTTTGCTATAGGGTGCATGTGCTCACCAGAGAGACAGACAGAAAGCAAGAAATCATCCCCCCCCGGGGGAGGGGCAGGGATGGCCACACCACAATCCCTTCTTCTCCATTCCCCTCTTGGGATTTTGGGTACACACACATATGTGCCAAACATGAGTTTTAAGACACTAGGTCCAGGACTCGAACCACAGTTGACTGCTTGGGAGTCCAGTGACATAAACATTACTTCATCTACTAGTCCCAATACAGCTATATTTCAACTAAAATTACTATTAAGTTGGTTGAAAATTTGAAGGAAGTAAAAAGAAGATTGTAGATTTGAGTTTGACTTTTTAGGAAGTTTCTATAGAATCCAATTGTTTGTGATTGAGGGTTTGTGTTTGTTTCTCATTCAGAAACAAAAAGCTATCAACACATTTTTTTTTCATTTTTTATTTCTTTTTTTATACATTAAATCACATTATTTAGCTTACAAAATGAATATTTCAACAGGTAAACACTTCTCCCTAGTACAGTTGATAAAACTATAAAATATCTTCAACAGATAATACCACATTTCTTTGTCCCATTAATGCTTTGCCTCCCTATTTTTCTTCTAAATGTGTTTCCTCAGACCCTCCTCTTTCACACACACTATATCTGGTAGTTACACCTATATACCGTGTTTCTATATTTTAGTCAATCAGTTTCAGTCATAGAGTGCGGACACTCGGTATATATTAAATGGGGACATACCATGTTTTTCCTTCATAGTCTGGCTTGCTTCCCTCAGCAGTAAATCTTTCATATTCATCTACTTCCTGTCAAAAGCCTGGGTTAATATTTGAGGAATAATTGTTCTTAAAAATAAAAATATTCACTTGTTTTTAATTTCTCCTTCTATGACTATTAAAATGTCATTATATTTTATTTATACATACATTTAATTTTCTAGCATTTATATATGATAAGATTATGTAGAGTGACAATGATATTTAGATTCTATTGATTTAAGTCATATTAAGTATAAGAAATCTAATATAATTTTCAAATTCCTCACATACTATTAAATGTCAAATTATTTTACTATGTTAAAGGATAAAATGAAATTCTTTATATATTTGTTTGAAGTTTTTTTTTACAACTTTATGATAAGCTGATGAATACTTAAAGAGAAATTGATGCAAAATTTTTTAAATCCAAGGAGTCTAGTACACAAAGAGCTATGTTAAAAAACATTTGCATATTTTTTATAAGAAGCTCATTGACTATCTTTCATAAATTCTTAAAGAAATCAGAAATAGAAAGCTGCAGATTCCCATGAACAGAGACAATTTGACCCTAAAAAGAAAAGTTACACCCTAGACTTGGAAAACAGGAAATTTCAGATGGTTTTTGGCAAAACACATAGTGCCTCTCCTTCTCTTGGTGTGTTCTTTTCTGAGTCTGTGCATTTTTTCATAACACAAGAATTCTCTGATGGCCAAAATTCTAGTTCCAGAAAAAAGGAATAGTAGCAACAACAGCAGCAACAATGATCAATTAATCTTAACAGCAGCAAGAAAATTATATTATCTTGTGTTTCTTCAGCAGAAATGCAAGTTTCAAAGTCCATGCAATAGGACAGGACATCTCCCAGACAGCTGGGGAATAACCTTCTTAGTGGTAGAGGGAAGGAACTATTGTCCAGAAACGGAAGCTGTGTGTGTATGAATGAGCATATTATGTGGCTTGTGAGAGATGGCAGGATAAACTACATCATGGGGTTGGGCAGGGCTGTGTGTGTTGCAAATGTATGTTTCTTTGTTATATTAGTTGCCCAAGAGATGAGCGAGAGCATAGATTTATTCCTCTTTTTGAGTGCAGAGAAAAACACCCAACAACAACAACAATAACAACAAGAACAGAGCGTGGGTGTGCTAGAAATTCCATTTGCATGAAGTATGCTGGGAAAAGCCTGGCAAGAAATTGGGGCTGGTGAAAAACAGATTCGGTGCCTATTGTTTTGTTTTATGAGTAAGCCACCAAAAAAATGTGGGTGTGTGCAGTTGGAAAGAAAATAGACTTCAACAAAATGTGTGAATCGTTTTTGTTAATTGTTAAAGAAAATAAATATTAAGCGGTTATTTTGCTCCTAAAGTTGAATTAAAATACATACAAACAAGACTATTCCTCCTCCAGTTTGTTTAAAACTGAAGGTAGCAACACAATGCAAACCAAAGCAATCAATACATCTCGAATTGTCAACTAAAGAAATGCATATTTCCTAAAACCTTTCTAAATATCTTAGTGTAATAAATCTTAGGGCTATTAAAAATGTAGCCTAACCTCCCTTTATCTTTCATTAAACTCCCAAAAGGAATGTGGTAAGTTGGAGTTTGTGAAAGTTAGAATTTAACTGATGACCTAGGCTTCTTCCTCCCCCTCAATAGTCACCATGAATCAGAGTTTTTGTGGCTGGGCAAGCACTCGGTGGTTTGTCTTTTGTTTAATTTGTTACAAGATCACACAAGCTATTTTTTCAACAGACTTTCAGAAGGCATCTTGGGAAATCCACAAAAATGGGCTGAATCATCTAACCCAAAACAGCTTATACCACATCTAACTGAATCTAAAGGGCTTGCTTTTCTTTCTTTTTGGGAGAATGTTCTCAGTCTCTGTTAGATGTAAGGATCAGGATACTAACATTGATTTGACAAGACAGGAAAGCCAAAGCAGAGTTATGAGCACAGAGAACGTGAATACTGCTTAATGGTGAGGGGAAAGTGTCTATGACACCACTTGCCAGTTGCTTGTTGTTCTGTATATTTGTGAAGAGTCAAGCTCACATGGAGACACTATCATGACAAAGTGACTGTGCTTTGAATCTATTGCTGAATATGACAGTTCAGGAGATCAGAGTGGCAATCTATCCACTATATGACATCTATCACACTCAAGGGACTGGTCAAACTAGTTTGTTTTTGTGTTTTATTCTTTCTTCTTTCTTTTCTTTTTAAATTTTTTTTCAGGTACTGCATTTTTCATTCTAAACCACAAGGCAGGTTAGGTTTCCTTTGGCCTGTGACCTAATCCTTAGGATGACAGGAGGTGCTAATTTGTTTGCCCATATCCAAGTCCAAAGAGAATGTGGCCTTTGGATTTACAATAGGATTGGATTTCAGGCTTCTAACAGTTAAAACTAGTCTTCAGTGTAAACTCAAGCAGGAGGAATGAGAGCTACACAGCGAGTGCATGAGTTGTTCAGTGTTTTGACACAGTCTCTTTTCATAGGAGAGTCACATTTCAAGCAGGGAGGCGTTCCTCCTTCTTAAAAAATGCTTGTGAAATGCATGACTCATTACACAGCTCCAAACAGCCAAAAAAAGTTCCGCAGCGTCCAGTGCAGGACAAACCACAGCTAGTCTAATATTTCAGGCTCTTGCTGAAACAGCTATTCCCATTGGGTCCAGAAGGCGAGTGGGAGTAGAGGGAGAAGGTCCTTCTTTCAGTTTCCAGAAGCATCCGGTCTTGAATGTGGTGAGGATCTATGATAGGGCTGCTCTTTGACCCCATTTTGCTTCTATTCCCCGGAAGTGTTGGCCTTTGCAGAGTTTGTGGGTATTTTTCTCTTATTTGAAGAATTTGGCTCCCATCCTGATTTGGGTAGAGAAAAGTGAGGAACAACAGTATCTCAGTTATTGACAGGATATGATAAACAAGTTTGTATGGTGGTGAACCTGCTGTGAGGAATTTCTTTAACTCCCAAAGAAAAATGCCAAAGTTGAACTTTCCATAGCACAG